ATAGTTTCAGAGGATGAGTCCTTCATTATGGCAGGGGGCATGGCAGCAGGCAGGTGGGCATGAGAACACAGCAGGAGCTGAGAACTTACACAAGTGTGAGCCAGAGAGGGAAAGGGAGAGTGAGGGGGAGAGAGAGAGAGAGCACGCTACCTGGGCCTGGCGTGCACTTCTGAAACCTCAAAACCCACTCCAAGTTACTCACTTCCTCCAACAAGGCTACACTTCCTAATGCTTCCTAACAGATCCACCAATTGGGGATCAAGTATATACATATATGAGCATGTGGGGGCCATTCTCATTCAAACCACCACATGCTTATATGTCTCTGTGTGTGTGTGTGTGTGTGTGTGATTATGTTGATTATAAGATTACATCCATTAATTGTAGGCAGGAACTCCTTTCCCCCTAAGTTGTTTATGTCAGAGATGTTACCATGACAATGGGAAGAAGTGAGGTGAGTCAGCCCAAGAAACAAGTGCTGACTACTGTCTTCTGGTTATATTTAGTTTCACACCGTAGGTTTGCCTTTTCCTTGTTTCCTGGTGTCACAGTTTCTAAGAGTAAAAACGTTATTTTCTTACATTATAAAAATATGTGGGTGAAACAAAGACATCTTCAGGGAAGATAAACATGTAACAAAACTGGTTCTGAAACACTGGCATGTCCGCCAGAGAGGACTGCAGATTGTTTCCACTGTAGCTTCTGAGGTGCAGCTGGGCTGACTTCCAGTTTGTAGTTTGCCTTCTAGGTTCTCAACCATGTTATTCCAAAGCTTACTCATTCATATATATGTAAATGTGTGTACAAATATATATATATACATACATGCACACTTGCACACGTACATGCACAAGTAAATCTGAAGGGTCCAGATTCACTTGATATAAACTCATGACTATAAGTTGTTTGAAATTGATGTATACATTTTAGGATATATAGATTGGTGTAATGTTTTTGGATGTATTTCTTTAAGTTAGTATTAAAAAAATTGTGAAAACAGAGCACGGTGGCCTATGCCAGCACTCAACACTTGGGAAACTAAGGCAGAAGGATTTTGAGCTTAAGACAGCCCGACCAAAATAAAACGGTCAAATCCTTACAAGGGCAGAAATTTGACAACGTGTAAGAAAAGTACACACCATTTACCCTTTAACCCGCTAACCTCACTTTTAATGATTTACCCACAGTTCCAGAGGACAGGGAGTGTAGGGCAGTTCTAGAACACCTGCTTCCTGTGCGGTAGACAGGGTGTTAGATCTCCAAGGGAAAAACAAGACAGACAAACAAGCGTGTGGCAACATGTGACAGTGTTGTTTGTGTGTTTGTAGGTTACAAAATTCTTAGTTGCACTCTGGTCAAATGCTGACAGAAGTTTGGAGAGGGAAAGAGTTCTGTTCTTGGTCCCAGAGGTGTCAGTCCGTCACGGAGGCTCGGCAGAGCACATCCAGGCAGCCGAGAAACAATGCAGCAAAAGGGAGAGACCTGGGCAAGGACCCGCTCCCAGTGAGCTACTTCCTCCAATCAGGGGCTAAGCCTTCCATACCTCCGCCTTCCACAGTCCCGCCTCTATGGCTCCGCCTTCCATAGCCCCGATTACTGTAGCTCCGCCTTCCATAGCTCTGCCACCACCCAAGAGTCTATCTAGATTGGTCATCAGTGGATTAAACCACTGGTTTCTCAGGGCCTTTGTGATGGCTCTCTGGAAATTCCCTTCACGTACTCCCACTGGCGTGCTTTATTAATCTGGCAGGCGTTTTTCAATCCAGTTGTACTAACAAGCCAGATTATCACACAGAGGGAATTTCATACATATAATAGAGCATCAGATAGCTTTTATAGAGTGGTTTTCTATAAAAGCAAAAAGTCAAAGAGAATATATTAGTATGCTGCTTTTTGGATAAAAAGAATGCCTACTTTTCATAAAAAGATACATTGGATACACACACACACACCACCGCCACCACCACTACCCTCCAAAAAAAAAAAAAAAAAAAAAACAATAAGCCAGGCGGTGGTGGTGCACGCCTTTACTCCCAACACTCCAACACTCAGGAGGCAGAGGCAGGTGGACTCTGAGTTCGAGGTCAGCAGTCTGGTTTACAGAGCGAGTTCTAGAACAGCCAGAGCTGCGAAACAGAAACTGTCTTTTAAAAAAAAAAAAAAAAAAAAAAAAAGATTGGCAATGCACTACATTCATGGATTTAATGAGAACTGCACAATATGGTGTGTGTTGCAGAGCCAAGTATTTAAGGCAGAGAAGAACAAAAAATAAAATCAATGTAGTGATGCCATCCTCTGTAATAGTGTTTTGAGAAAGTGACCAAAATCCAGGTAAATTCCAAATTTAAGTATAAGAGTGTATTGGCTCACTTTACTGGAAGTCTAGTATCAAACCTAGCATTTTGAGACGTGTGTAGTTCCCTCTGCTCAGACTATCAGGACTTGGTCTGTTGTTTCCTAGTTTGCTTTCTTTAGCTGGAGCTACAACAGGTCCTTTTCTCTATGGTCTCTAGCACCTGAACCACTGGAGGGAGACCGTCTCTTTCTAAATAGCTTTTCCAACAAGTGTCTCCTGGAAGATTCTCACTGGCTAGGTCTGGGCAAAGGCTTCCAGTGGGAGTCTGCAGATTATTGCTGGGGAGAAAGTTCCTAAGAGAGATGAAGAGGAACCAAAAATGTAGCTGTCTTATTCTGTAACACTCATTATATCATAGGACTGGATACTGTTTAAAAAAAAAAGTTCTTTTTTTTCTAAATGAGACAGGTTTTATGTAGCTAGGTTATTCCTGAACTCCTGATCCTCCTGCCTCAGCTCTGCAGGTGCATCCCACCAGGCCTGCTCTCTTATCTTTCTGATGGGGTCATCCATGTTGACTCCTTCCCATCTTTACTCGTGGGTGATTTTCAAGGTCTGGCTTCATTCAAACTACATCTGTGGCTTCCAAGTTTTAAAGGAAGCCACACATCCTTAACTCCTGGTCGGTTCCTCTTCTAGTATCTGCGTAATCCACCCTAACTATGTACCATCAAGGCCTAGCTTAGCTTGTTCCACCTCTAATTCTCTCATTTTCCCTTCCTAAACTCTGGTCCTGTATTCCTGTACCGGTTCCCCGCTGAACAGACTTCTGAAACTTCACAGCTGAAAAGCTGTGTTCCTCAACCCAGAAAACTCACACGTATCTTCTTCCCAAAATGTTGTAGTCATTTTAGTATTTTAGTGCGTGCGTGCATGCATGTGTTTGGCCAGAAGTTGCCTGTAATTCCTTGGAGGCACTTTCTGTCTTCCTTCCTTCACTGTGGAGAAGAGCTCTCACTGGCCTGGCCGTCCCAGCTTAGGTGAGGCTTGCTGGCCAGTGACCTCACAGAGCTGCCTGCCTCTGTCTCTCAGAGCGTGGATCACAGGAGCTCACTGTCACCCCTTGCTTTCAAAAACATATTTGTTTATTTTTAGTTTTATTCATTTGTGTATGCTTATTTATTTTAAATCCATAATACAAGTCTATTCATCTTCTCTTGCTCCTGGCTCTCACTTCACACAATTTTTCCTTAAAATATCATTTGGATTGAGGACATCTACAGCAGCCTGGAACTATTTTCTTTAGTACTTGGTTTTGAGCTCCTTACACAACTGAGAATTCTCTCAGAAAATTCCAACAAAATTTTATCTTCCATGTATGGATATTTTGCCTGCATTTACATCTGTGTACCATGTGCATGCCTGGTGCCCATGGATGGGAAAGGAAGGTGTCAGATCCTGTGGATCTGAAGTCCTAGATGGTAGCTGACATGTGGGGGCTGGGACCCCAACTCTAGTCCCCTCAAAGACCAGGCGGGACTCTTTTAGACTGTGTTTTTTTTTTTAGAAAGATTTCATTTGTGGTAATTTATTTATTTATTATGCATACAATATTCAGTCTGCATGCACTCAAGGACACATTATAGATGGCTGTGAACCACCATGTGGTTGCTGGGAATTGAACTTAGGACCTCTGGAAGAGCGGACAGTGCTCTTAACCTCTGAGCCATCTCTCCAGCCCCCCAGGTGGGACTCTTAATCACTGGGTCTCTCTCCAGGGCCCCAGTTGTTTGTTTACTTGGAGACAGAGTCTCACTGTGCAGCCCTGGCTCTGTAGACCAGGCTGGCCTCTCCCTCACAGAGCTCCACCTGCCTGAGCTTCCCAAGTGCTGGGTTGCAGCTGGTGCTCTTAACCACAGAGCCATCTCGTCTCTTTAGTCCCTACATTTTCAGTTCTTAGCAGTCACATCAACTTTGATCCCCCATCTCCCAGGCTCTGAAGTAGCTAACTTATGGACTTGACATATGTATTTCATCTCCTGCGTAGGGATGAAGTGAGGGGCTAGCCCATCTGCCGGCTACCTCTTTTTTATTTTAAAAACTCTATTTATGGTTCCCTCTGCCCTTGTACCACGAGTCATCGACATCTCTTTTCCCTTACTGACAAACGTCTTGAAAGAATTGTCTTCACATGCTGCATCCAAACTCGGGGCAAATAGATTTACACTGGGTCCTCAATGCTTTGTCTTGAAGATTTTAATATCAAAGTTATATCATTCACATACATACATGTAGGATGCAAGGTACAAAATAGTTTCCCAAGTCAACTCGACTGTGCAAAGATGTTACTATAGGGAAAAAAAAAAAGCCCTGATAGATAATATGTGAAAATTTTTATTTTGCCTCTGGGTAGATGGATAACAAATTTTTTAAAAATTTGCACACACTGAAAAAAGAATAATTTAATTTCACATTATAACACATTGATATGTAACTTTAAAGATCCTCTACTTACACTTTGAAAAAGGTGGCAGAAATCTTGAGGCGAGAAGCTACCGGCGGGTGTAGAGGTCGCAACCTTCCTGGCGCGCTTCCGGTTGCCTTGGTAACAAGCGCCAGGTCACCTCTTCCCACAGTTCCGCGCTCCTGCCTACTTCCGGTGCCGGGGCTCCGCCCGAATCTTTCCGGAAGCAAACCCTGGTAGCCGGCGTAGTGGGCAGGCGGTGGCAGGCGCGTGTGCGGCGCTGCGGCAATCGAGTCGGTTCCCTTTCCTGACGCTGGGTAAAGGGATCTGGGCAGTACTGGGTTCCAGACCTGTCGGGCCCACACTGTGACCTCCCATCCGGAGAAATCCGGAAACGGGGTGCAGCGCAATGTTAGAGCCCTGCCCAGCCTGAGGACTGCCCTTGCATCAGTATCCAGGTTTTTTTTAAAGATTATTTTTAATTTTAAGACTTTTAAGTGTAGGAATACATAGTGCGTGCGTGTATTGCCCGAGGAGGCCAGAAGGCGGTCAGGTCTCCTGACAATGGAGTTATAAACTGTTTGTGGGCCACCATGTGGATTCTGGGAATCGAACCAGCGTCCTATGCAAGAGAGCAGTAGGTACTCTTACCCATTGACGATCACCCCAGTCCCTAAAATAGGATATATGTAACTTGATTCGGTGCTCTGCAGTGTAAACACATTTGTTGTAGGCCGTAAATATGATCTTATTTGTAAATTATAAAATGGAATTAAATGTTAAAAAGTTAAAATTGATTAAAATTATTTGTAACTTTGTTCGTTACTGCGATATATTTAACAACTGTGATTTATTTACCATAAAGGTTATTTTTGCAGCCAGGTGTAGGGCAGCATGCCTTTAATCTTAGCACTTGGAGGCAGCGGTAGGCGATTCTCTGATTTTGAGGCCAGCCTGGTCTACAGGACAGCCAGGGCTACACAGAGAAACCCTGCCTCCGATTTAATTTTGCTATAGAAAGACAAAGCAAGCATAAAATAACAACCCTATGGTCCTGTCTGCACGGAGGCAACCACTGTGACTGAGTGCTTTGAAAAGGTCTTTTTTTTTTATGCAGTTAAGATTCAAAACAGAATCAACGGTGCAACTTTGTAATATAAAAATAGTATATTTAATTTTAAAAGACTACATAGTTGTACATGTATCTTTATACTTGAACATTTAATCTGTTTCTTTCCTTTTCACTCTGAATTAGTTACCTTGTGGGTTTTTTTTTTTTTTTTTTCTTTTTTTTTTTCTCCCTAGGGCCTTGCGCTTGCTAGGCAAGCACTCTACCACTGAGCTAAATTCCCAACCCCTTCACTCTGAATTAGTGCTGTAGCCTGGAAATAAAGTTTTAGAGAGAGAAATGATCTTCCTTCCCTCCTTCCTTCCTTCCTTCCTTCCTTCCTTCCTTCCTTCCTTCTTCCTTCCTTCTTCCTTCCCTCCCTCCCTCCCTCCCTCCCTCCCTCCCTCCCTCCCTCCCTCCCTCCCTCCTTCCTTCCTTCCTTCCTTCCTTCCTTCCTTCCTTCCTTCCTTCCTTCTTTCCTTGAGACAGAGTCTTAGGTAGCCCTAGCTGGCCTGGACCTTGGCAGGTAGACCAGTTTTCCTAAACTCAGAGAGAACTGCTGCTCCCTGGTCCCTGAGTTCTGGGATTAACAGTGTACACTCACAGAGAACCATGAGTGTGCTTCCTGCCACCACACCTGGCCCTCTTGCTTTTTGTATTTTCTTTAACTCATTTGTGTTTGTACTTCCCTGCTTCTCACAGAATGCCATTTCATTTCTTTCCTGCAGGTAAATTGTATATGAAATGATACAGGTGGCACTGAAAAGCTATTCAGCCTCTTAAAGTTAATTTTTGTGATTACAGAGGTAATGCATAGGCTGGAGAGATGGATGGCTCAGAGGTTAAGAGCACTGGCTGCTCTTCCAGAGGATCATGAGTTCAATTCCCAGCAACCACATGGTGGCTCATGACCATTTAAAATGAGATCTGGTGCCCTCTTCTGGCGTGCAGGTATACATGCAGGCAGTACATTGTATATATAATAAGTAAATGCAAAAAAATCTTTTAAAAAAAGAGGTAATGCATACTTATTGTAGACATTAAGGAAGTTTAGGAGCCAGGGAAATGGCTCAGTAGGCAAAGCACTGTAGGGTGAGCATGAGGACTTGAGTTTAGTCCCCAGGACACATCTCTTGCTGGGTGTGGTGTGGTCCTTAGGCCTTCATACATGTACACCCAAACGTGCGTGCATGTGCTCGTGCTCTTACAGAGGACCTGGGTTCAGTTCCCGGCACCCAGATAGTAGCTTATATCCATAATTCCAGTTCCAGGGAACCCAACACCCTCTTCTGACCACTTTGGGCACCAGGCACATGCAGCCAAAACACTCATACACATTAAAAAAATAAAAAATAAAAAAAGTTTTAGTTTAGTTAGAAAAATAAAGCATGCATATATGGAAAGTTCAGCTCAGTTAATTTGGAATGCTAGAAGAAAACCTGCTGTCCTGGTTTGCTTCTCTGGCTGTAATCAAACACTGACAAAAAATAACCTGCGAGAGGAGGGTTATAGTCCATCATCAAGGAGAGCTGGGGCAGGAGCTGGAGGAAGAGCAGAAGCCAACACCATGGAGGAGGAACCCTTCTTACTGGCTTGCTCCTGTGGCTTCCGGCCTGCTTAGCCTACTTTCTTTGTTGTGTTTTTTTGTCTTCTTCTGTTTTGAGACAGGGTCTCACTGTGTAAACCATGCTGGCCCAGAAATCTCCATGTACACCAGGCTGGCCCAGAAATCTCTTTGTATAGCAGGCTGGTTCACAAAGACAACCTCTCTTCCTCAGTTCTGGAATTAAAGGTCTGTACCACCATACCCAAACCACAGCCTGCTTTCTTACATAACCCAGTACCAGAAGTGGCACCGCCCACAGTGGGCTGGACCCTATCCCACCAACCATTGATCAAGAAAATAACCCCATAGACTTTTCTTCAGGCCAGTCTGATGGAGGCATTTCCTCACTTGAGTTCCCTCTTCTCAGGTGATCCCAGCTGTGTTTTGTTGTCTTGACAACAAAACTAACCAGCATATGTAGAAAAGATTTAAAATGCTACTTGAAATGTGACTCCAGTTCATAAATAAAAATGCAAGCTAAAAGAAAAAACCAAAATGCAATATTATTCCAGAAACCATTTTGTGATACTCTTTACTAAAGGAACTGAAAGAGAAAACTAAAAGTAAACCAAAATCTCTGTTACTGTTAAGTATTAGAACACCTCAACTTACAGTCTTCTAAATTTTCTTCCTATGCATGGTGGAAGGGCATGCGTGTGTGTGTGTGTGTGTAAGAGCAACAGTTGCTCTCAACTGCTGAGTCATCAGTCTAACCTCATTCTATCTTGTTTTATTTTTAAAGATTCATTTATTTATTATGTATAGTGTTCTGCCTATGTGTATGCCTGCAGGCCAGAAGAGGGCACCAGATCTCATTATAGATGGTTGTGAGCCATCATTTGGTTGCTGGGAATTGAACTCAGGACTTCTGGAAGAACAGCCAGTGTTCTTAACCTCTGAGCCATCTCTCCAGGCCCCACTTTCTGTTTTTTTTCTTAAGAGGTGGTCTTATGTATCCTAGGCTGGCCTTGACCTTGCATTGTAGATGAGGAAGACATTGAAGGTCTCTGATCCTCATGTTTCTCCCTGCTGAGTGCTGACATTACAGGCACACTTTGCCACCATGTCTGCCTATGTGGTAGAACTGGGACTTCATGCATATCAGGCAAGAGCTCTGTCACTTGAGTTACACCTTTGGCCTCCTTCTGTAGCTGGATAAATTAGCTTTGCTGAGCTCACTCCTACCTGTAAATTAGGGTTGATAACATTTGCAAGGTTGTAATGAGGATTGGAAATAATATACGTAAATGAAGCTCAATAAAAAGAATCTACTGTTTGGTTTATGGCTTTATTAGTCTGTAAGTGCAGGTGTTCATATTTGTATAATATTTCAAATGAGTGAATGCCCTGTGCTTCCCACTCAACTCGTGTTTACTGAGCACCTGAGACACCTAAGTGCGTTTATAATTCTTAAGTCCTTGTGCGCCTGATTTTCTTAGATAATTTTCCTACATAAAACCTATGCTGTGGTCCAACTTCAGAAATTCCTTTGTTTTCTCAGACTCTACCATCCTGCCCAGTCCATGGCAGCAGGTGCTGAATAAATGTGTGAGCTAAGCTGTATAATTTAGTGCGTGTGTGTGAAACACAAATTAGCTAACACCTGGAAGTCTGTCATGAAGGCACTAACAGAGTACTTTGACCTGCAGGTCAGACAACATTAGTTTTGAGTAAGCGGTGTTGGGAATGCCCTGGGAAGCTGATTATGGGCACTGAAGGTAAAGCCTGCGAGACAGACACAGTGAGAGTTGAGGTTTGGAGGTAGCGGTGAGGTATGTATCTTATTATCAGTTATTTGTGCCAGCAAGAGTGGGGTTGATGAAGGGTGCCAATGAGCTACATTTTTATATGACCAACCAGTCTTTTCCAGTCGTCTCTGAAAACACTGCCTTTTATTTGGTGTGAGTGGGTAGTGCGAATGGGAGAAACAGCAGGTCAAGGGGTGGGATGTTGGCAGAAGTCTTTAGCAGCAGAAGGGAATTCAGTGGCCAGCATTGGCCTGGAGGAGAGGATGTGTCCAGGGTGATACCTTGGCAGCTCAGGAGGCAGCAGGAGGCGGCAGGAGGCTGAGAAGACCGGCCAACCACGCCTACGAGCAGCAGCAATAGCCAAGATGGCCACGAGGCTCCGCCCATTCCCGCCCCGCCCCGCCCCGCCCCGGTAGTTCGTCCTCTTCGGTGCTGGCTGGCCGACAGTGCGGCGGTGTTGGAAGCGGCAGCCCCGGGACGGCCTGAGGAGTCCTGCCGTCGCATGGCGGGAGCTCCGGGCGGCGGCGGGCCGGGCCCTGCGGCGGGGGAGCCGCCGGCCCGCGGGGAGCGCCAGCGGGGCTTCCTCTCCAGCCTCTTCGCCCGGGACCAGAGTTGCCCGACCATGCTCCTGGAGACGCTGGAGACGAGTAGGAGCCGCGACCTGGAGCCTGGGGACGGGGTGGCACCGGACCCCACTGAGCCCAGGGCTCCTCTGCGGTCCCAGAGCTGCGTGGGCGGGTGGGGGCGCGGCCTCCGGCACCTTTCCTGCGTGTGAACGCACAGGCCGGGAGGCTGCCCTTTTGGGTCACACTAGTTTCTTATGTAAGTTACACGGCAGCATGCGCTGTAGGGTGGCGCTGAGAGATAGAAGGAACTCTGTTAATAAGGCGGTTCTACTTCTGCCTCTGCATCCTTCCCTGGGGTGGGTGGGGGGGATTCTTTAGCCTTCATCCATTGCTAGAATAGAAACTTTTCCGTGTTTATGTTCCTAAGTGTATTTTGCTAGGGAGAGGTCTTGTCTTCATCATATTCTTTATTTTTAAAATTATTATTATTTACAATTTATTCACTTTGTATCCCTTATCTTCCCCTATTCCCCTCCCCTAGTCCACTGATAGGGGAAGTCCTCCTTACCTACTGTCTGACCCTAGTCTATCAGGTCTCATTAGGGCTGCCTGGATCCTCTTCCTCAGTGGGCTGGCAAGGTCGCTCCTGCTCCCCTTACTTGGGTACCCAAATAGAGCCTGAGCTGCCCATGGGCTACATCTGAGCAGTGGGATCTAGGTCCTATCCATACATGGTCCTTGGAGGCCCACGACCTCCAAAAGGTTTATTATTGCCTCGGGGTCAGGCAGACACATGGCTTCCCACTGAACAATTTCTCTCCAGTTCCAGGGACACCACTTTGCCCCTTTGCATTGGCATAGATTGCCTGTCTACATTAGGTTTATTTAGGAAAATAAGAGTTAAATGTATTTGTCCCAAATAATAAAGTTACTATTTTATAGCAGAATCAGTCATAATTCAAGGCAACTGATCAAAGGCTTTACTGTCCTCTTTAAAATTTTCTTGTTTAGATACTTTATTTTTGTATATGATTGTTTTGTTTGCATGCACCACGCGCATTTTTGGTGAGCAAGGCCTGTGAGCCACTTTGTGGGTGCTGGCACCTGAACTCAGGTCCTCTGTAACAGGAACCAGTGCTCCTCACCCCTGACCTATCTGTTTTAGTGCCCTCTTTTCCCCCCAGGGGTGAGGGTGGAGCTCAAGGCCTTGCACTTGGTAGATGAGGCTCTACCACTGTTCTCAATCCTTTTTTTTTTTTTTAAAGATTTATTCATTTTGTATACAGTGTACTGCCTGCATATACACCTGCATGCCAGAAGAGGGCACCAGATCTCATTACAGATGTTTGTGAGCCACCATGTGGGTGCTGGGAATTGAACTCAGGACCTCTGGAGGAGCAGCCAGTGCTCTGAGCCATTTCTCCAGCTCTGTTCTCAATCCTTAACTGCCTTTTCTTCTTCTTCTTATTGACAATAGATCATACTCTTCCACTTGCCAGCCCCCACTGGCAAATGCTTTGGTTGGCAGGTCCCATTTGGAATGCAGCACTCAGAATGGGGCATGATGTTACACAGAGCACAGAGTAGTACTGCCTTCCTCTAGTCTAGGCAGCATGCTGTGTTTTTCTAACTGTGTCCCAGCATTCTCCTGGTCTCCTGATACATGCTGTAATACAGTGTTAGTCATTGAAACAAAACCAATCTTGGTACTGTTCTGGTATTTGTGTTAATGTTTTGTTTTATTCAAGACCTGATTTGGTGCTAATGTACATGTTTGATAGCCATTTTCAAAAGTTTTAAGGTAGCACTTGTGTGTTAATTTTGTGATGTCTGCTATTTGGATGACTTAATTTGTGCTCCGCTTTCTAATAAGCGTACTTAATCTCTTTGCAGATCCATATGTTAAGCTTCTGCTTGATGCTATGAAACACTCAGGTTGGTAAGTACATCTTTTTAAAAGTCACTGTCTGTTGTGGAGGCCCCAGGACTGAAACCGCAGAACTGCTGTGCTTGGGGTTTCTCCCCTTGGACTACAAAGCGCTCTCCGTCAACAGGGGCGGCCACGTGGTCTCCAGCTGGGCCTGTTCTCTCCTGCCGTCTTCTGTCCCATTTCAGTCTCTGGCTGTACTGTTCAATTTGAATATTAGTAAAGTCAATGCTCACAGTCTCATAGACCTCATAGACCTCAGAGAGGATTAGAGGAATTTACTTTGGATGTCTGGGTCTCATCACTGACCAGATGGCAGGACTGTCACTTTTCCAGTGTGGTCCTAGTGTGGTGACCTTGCTTGATGGAATCTGGATAGAATTTGAGGTGGTATGGACTCTGCAGAGACAGTCTCTCCTATGCTGCTGCTGAGAGGACTGAGCCCTGACTGTTAAATGGCTTGCCAGGTCGTGTGTGTTAGTCGTGGGAGGGCTGTGCCCAGTGGTCTGAGGTGTCCGGCTGGGCTGCTTCCTTCATACCCAGTGCTTACACCTCTCCATGCCCTACAGTGCTGTGAACAGAGAGAGACACTTTTCCTGCGAAGCCTGTGATGGAAATGTCAGTGGAGGTTTTGATGCGACAACGTCTCAGGTGGGCTTCTTTGCTGAATTGTTTTCTTCCTTTTACTCCCTTCAGATACTCGCTGAACACTTTTCACGGGCCAAGCATTCTATCTGGTAGATTTTGCGTAGGACTTTAAAAAAAAAATCACTCTCAGTCCTCCTCATAAGGAGTGCTGCTCTTTCGAGGGGGATAAGAGGTGAACTCAAACCTCTTAGGTTAGGAAGTTTGAGGCCCTTTAGAACATTGCCTGGTGGTAAGTTCCTGTTGCTGTGATTTACACAGAGGAAAAGAGTTAGCCTCGCTTACTGTGTCAGTCCCGGGTCCCTTGACCCCATTGCCTTTGTGTTGTGTGCATGGGACTATACCTACTGACATCAGTGTCAAATAGCCTCCTCACACCCAGTGATTCCACTTCCCTCCACTGGGCCCCCCTTCTTGTAGTACCCAGGTTAACCATCCTTTGGGCAGGAGAGAGCTGGGCAGAGCACTGGCTGCTTTTCCACAGGACAGGTTCAGTCCCCAGCACCCGCACGCCTGCTCAGAGCCATCAGGAACTCCAGTCCCATGGCACCAGCACCCGCATCTGGCGCCTGCAGGCACTGCATGTGGTGCACAGACACGCAATGTCAGCATGCAGACATGAGGTGCGTGTGGGGAACTAGCTCTTTAACACCTGGACCTGTGGAGGATAGGCAAGGCCCAAACTATGCAAGTCACCACAACAGGACAGTGAGGTGTTGACTGACAGCGACGCCTGGCTCAGCTGGGAGATGCAAAGGCAGAGAAGAAGTGCTGTTAACCAGAGTAGGATCCGCAGGCTGTTAGTGTGCCGTGCAGTTCAGCTGGACGGGGGAGACGCGTGGGAAGTCGTGGGTCTAGAACCGGAAACTGTGAGCTGAATGGTGGGCAGCTGTGAGTCCTGGAGTAGAAGGTGAGTCATAAACGGAGGAGTGAGAGTTTACATGTTACATAGATCATGCCTGCGTCCACCTTTTAGAATGGAGATGACAGTTAAATTGGTTATCAGATTAGTTACCTGGAGTAGAGTTGTTTGTAATGGGGCATACTCGCTTGTGAACATTCAATTTTATGAGTAATTTTAAGTCCCTGGGGGGTTTTGACAGTAATGGAGGCAGAAATGGATCATGTGACAAGATGAAGGTAGTTGAAGGTATTGCATGTAACGCTTCCAATTGGAATATATCATCAACATTTGACTCCACTAAAATACTTGGTGCTGGAGAATTTAATGTGCAGTCTGTTATTCCTAACTCTTTTCGTAATTAGGGTGGCACTGTGGTTTTAGAGGAAGATTTGAGGTGGAATCCCAGTCCCTCTGCTTGTCAGCTGTTGCTAATCGCATTGACAGCTTTGAAAAGCTCTGGATGAGTTTGTCCACTCCCTGCAGTGACTATGAGGAGTGAGTGTTTTGGGAGCTAGGGCCGTAGCTCAGTTGGTAGTGGCCTTGCCTGCCATACACAGCACCTGAGCTCAGCCCCTGATGCTGCAAGATCCCTTCTTGGTGGCATATACCTGTAATTCTAGTGCTCAGGAGGTGGAGGCAGTAGACTCAGAAGTTCAAGGCCATCCTCAGCTACGTAGAGAGTTTGCCAGCTGGACTAGAGGCCCCAACTCGGGGGAAAAAAACAAAGTAAACATTTTGAACTCTGAACTCTCGGCAGTGTTAAACACAGTCGCACACTATTCCATCCTATTTTAAATTGTAATTTTCATTCCGAAGTCTTCCATTTATCCAGATCTGAAGAGTGTGTTCTCAGGACTTCAGAGAACCATGTGGTCCTCTTGAATCACATCCTTAGCCTGGCTGTGGGCTTTATTCGCTGCTTTTCTGCGTGCTTTTCCCACCCACATGCGCACATGTCTCATGGAGACACTTGCTTTTGTGCTTCGTACGTAGACCACTTTGAGTTATATGGAATGTTTTGTACACACAGCATGTGAACATACATCTTTGTGGTTCTGTGAAGCATAAAATTGTACATAAATAGCCCCTGTAAGTTAGTTGTTTGGATCATCACTGAGTTTTTTCCATGCCACTGTGTGCCCTCTCTGGTTTAACTTCCCTGTTATATACTGTTCCACCGTATGTTTGCATTTACCTCATCTAATACTTTGTAATTGTGTGCGGTAATGCCGTAAATATTCTTGAACCTTCTCTCTTGGTGACATTTGCAACTTTCTCAAAGATAGAAGTCTCTGAGCAGAATCGCAGGGTCATAGAGTATACAGAACGGTGGCTGTTTCGCAGGTTCACACACATTCTCCTGGTTGCTCCTTTGCTGCTGTCCTGTCAGCTCTTGAGGTCCCACAGTCCTTCTTTTCTTCCTCTGTCTTCTGTCGAGGGGATCTGTTAGTGGTTATTTTAAAAATGTGTTGCAGTTTCTCCCTTAACCTGGCTAGCACTCAAATAATTGAGACTGGACTATTATGTTTATTTGACAAGTGTTATGGCACAAGAACTGAATAGTATTAATCTGTTTTAACCCTCTAAACTAACCTGGCTTCCTCCCAGGGTAAATCCCTGAGATACTTGCATTTTTTTCGCCTTCTCTGCCCCAGATTCTCTCTCTTGATGTTTCCTGGACCTTTCCTCATGGCTGGCTGAATTCTTCACTACCTTTCTTTCTCTCCTCTTCTGGCTGGCCGGAAGTCCAGCTATATTCTCTTTCCTACTCAGTCATTGGCTGTTGGGGGAGAAGTGTTTACACAATATTGAGATGGGATTCTTGGAACAAGGATTGCAACCAGATAGGGGGCACAGAAACCAGCATTTGAGTCTTTACACAGCCCTCAGTAACATGCCTACTGGGGGTCTTGTTCTTCTTTCAGGTCAGAGTTGTGTTTGGCGTGCTCTATCTATGTATTCAAATACTCACTTAGCACTTACTGCTTGGATTGTCTTAAAGTCACATTAGACCCGGTATGTCCAAGTTCACACTTGTGATTTCTACCGTCCCCTCTCTTCACTCAGTCTGCTTTGTTAGGGTTTCTTTTCACCTCCTTCCTTCTTTTCCTTTCACTCTTTTTGATACAGGGTCTGGTGTAGCCTTGGGCTGGCATCTTGTGTAGCTGAGACTATGTACTTCTGATACCCCTGCCCATGTGGGGTCACATGCATGCACCGTCACACTCACCTTGGTTTTATATATCTCGGTAGATGTTTCTGCAATTTAGGCCAGAAATTTGTAGATACTTCTGGTTCCTTCCTCATTTTTAATTCATCACCAAATTGTGTTCAGTTTATCATCTAAATCGTCTTTCAGCCCCCACCAATCTTGCCTAAGGACCTCACCTTTAGTCTCTTGCCTAGAATGCCACATTGGCCTCTGTCTGGTTTCTTTGACCCCACCTTTGGTCATCTCCCATTCATTCTTTTGGCTGTAGTTTTAAGGGTAAACACAAAAGCATGCCCCTGTTCAGTGCTCCCTCCAGAGGCTGCCAGAATATAGACAGGGTCTGTGTGGCTTGGTGTCCGCCCACGGTAGCAGCCTGACTCAGGCTGTGGCCTGCTCTGCTTCTGTCCCTGCTTCTAGCTTTTTATATGTTCTGCTCCTTCAGGCCTTCCTTACCCCTTTGCTCTTGTCCTTCCCTTTCCTCTCCTCTGTTTAAATTTAGCTACTACTCATTCTTAGCTCACGTCTTTATTTTATTAGCTTTTTCAATAAAGTTTTAGTTATTAAGTATTTTTTTTTGAGATTGTAAGTCTAATTATATCATTTCCCCTTTCCCTTTCCTCCCTCCAAACTCTCTTAACTACCCCCTCCACTGCTCTCTTTCAAATTTAAGTCTTCATTTTTATTTTATCTGTATGGCTGTTTTGATTGTAAGTCTGTGCACTGTGTGTGACAGGTGTCCACAGAAGCCAGAAGAGGGCATCCGACCCCTTGGAACTGCAGTTGCGGATAGTTGTGAGCTGCCTTGTGGGTGCTGGGAATTAAACTTGGGTCTTCTGGAGAACAGCTATGCTCTTAACCAGTGAGCCATCTCTCCAGCCCTGTTTGTTTATTTTTGAGATAGACTCTCTGGCTCAGGCTGGCTTGAACTCAAGGTATAGCTGAGGATGACATGAACCTTCAATCCTCCTGCTTCTGCTGCCCGTGGTGGAATGGCATGAGTGGCTTGCTGTGCCAGGCTTATGCCATGCTGGGGATAGAACCCAGGGCCTGATCCATGTTGGGCATTCTTCCACCCAGCTACACCCCTAGCCCCATAGGGCTGAGTTTAAACATTCCTAACACAGAGAAACCTGTCCCAGCTGTGCAGATCAGGCCTGGTGTTCTCATAGTATTTGCTCGGGACTGTCACCACATGTATTGATCATCTTGATGAGTATTTATTAATTTGTCTTCGTCAGTAGATTCAAAGTCCCTTACTAGGCCTTAATGAATGTTAGTTGAGTAAGTTAGTGTTGAATGTACACAAAGTCCCTGTTACCTACCGAGTGTCAGGCCTGTGGTAAATGTAGCTGCTGTGATTAGGACCCTGTGTCTCCCTTATTCTTACAGGGTCCCGCCTCAAGCGCCACTGGCCCTCTGGTCTCCTTTCTGACCACCTCTGAGGCTTTCCTGGGGAAGTTTCTTCATTCATGGATGGGAATGATGGCAGCGGTTTTCCCTCACTGCTGGCGCTGAGACTTTACATATGTTCTTACCTAACCGTCTAGTTCCCTGATGATAATTCTCTCCGGCATATGGTTGAGGAAACTGAGGCACAGAGAGGCTAGGAAACTTGCTTAAGGATCTGGAGGGATGGCTCCGAACACTTGGTACTCATTCAGGGGACCAGAGTTCACATCTCGGCAGCCTCTTCGGTGGTTCGGGGTCGCCAGTAACCTCAGCTTTAGGGAGTGTAAGACCCTCTTCTGGTCTTTGTGATGACCCAAACTCATGTCCGTATTAATCCCTAACGTAGTTGAAAAGAATATAAAAAAATTTGCCAGCTTGCTAAGTTAGCAGGGCCTGGAACTGCTCTTTAAATATATCTGTTCCTTCCTAAGGCCATTCTTAGAACCGCAGCACTGTGGCATCCAAGGCAGACTGGTGTGGTCAGCTGAGGGGCTGCATCTGAACACGTTCCTGATTGGAGGGGCTGGCATGGCCTGGAGATTGGAGGGGCTGGCATGGTCTGGAGGGAAGCCCAGGGAGGGCTTAGTCACCAGATGTGCGATATGGGGGAGAAAGGGGGTGGAGGCTTCCAGGAGGTGTCCATGTGTGAGAGAAAGTGGGATCCACAGAAAGGGCAGGGTTTAGAAATGAGCGAACCTCTCTTATTTTGGTGTCTTCTAGATTGTTTTGTGCCAGAATAATATCCGAAACCAGGCTCACATGAGCAGGGTGGTCACCCATGAGCTCATCCACGCATTTGATCACTGCCGGGCGCATGTCCACTGGTTCACCAATGTCAGACATTTGGCATGCTCAGAGGTGAGGTTCATCATGAGAGACATTTATTTTCCCCAGAACACGGAACTTTTTATTTAAATACAATTTATTTATGCAGATTCCTATTCTTGCTGTTGTGACTTTAGCATAGTGTCTTTGCAGAATTGCTGTAAATATTATCTTAAAGGCCTAATAATGGTGTCAACTGATTTAAATCATAGTAAATCATACTTACCCTGGGACAGAGTGAGGGCTATGGATTTAGAAAAATAAAATGATTGATTTTTATTTTTGGGATTTGAACTCAGGGCCTCTTGCATACTAGTCAAACACTGCTGCTAATGAACTACATTTGCAGCCTTGGATTTCCTCTTGCAGTGCCGGGCCAGAGCCCAGGGCCCTGTGCGTGCTGGGTAGACAGCCCATCGCTGTGTGGTGTCCCAGTTGTTCCAGTTCTCCCTCAGTCTTCACAACAATCTGCTGAGGAGGGCAGTTATCCTTGCCTTCTGTGTGTGCTTCTGTATGAAGCAGTCATTTGGATTTTAGAGGTAGCGGCAGAGCCGGGTTTACCAGAATCCTCAACCAGCCTGCGCATTTCGTAGTCAGAGTCATTTGCCCTGGAGTAATACATTCAGTCTCAAGAGTACAACGTAAAAAGATATTTATCTGTAATGATTTTGGGTACTCTCAGAAGACCATATGCTCCTAGCGGGGAATATGTGTTTCTACTTGAATTTCATTGAAGAATAGTTATAATGAGTAACTGAGGAATTAACAAATCTCAAGCATGGACCCTCTACTGTAGGCTGTTTTCTCCTCCCCTGGAAATCAATACTTGCCCCACTGCATGTGCGCTAGCCCTGAGTTTTAAGTAGGCCTCTGTCCAGCATCCCGAGAGTAATGCCTGAAAGCTAACCCGTGTTTAGTGCCGTGAGCTCCTCAGAGGATGCAGCTTTGTAATTGTAGAGGAGCAAGAAGTGGACCACCTCTTGGCCGTCAGTTACCAAAACTGTGGCTAAAGGCTGTGCCGTGGATGGGGTAGTCTCAGGACTTAGAAAAAACTCTATTGTCAGCAGAAAGCAGAAAATGTGCTAACGTCTGTGTGATGGTCTTCATCTTTGAACTTTTCTATCATGTATCAGGATGCAGTCAAGGGCCTAGGGGAGGCTAGGCTGACTGAGGCTTGAGGCCCAAGACTGAAGTTTGGGTTGTGGCCGAGTCACATGCTAGTTGTAGGGACCTTCTTTGGAAGAATGCTTTCTTGAAGTATTTTGGTAATCTCTAGGAGTGTTTGTATCTTCTAGAGCTCATGGTCTTTAACTGTGAGGTCCAATTCTCTGACCCTTTGTTCCAGAAAGAATTTATTTCTATCTATGAGGTAAAGTTTAGAAAATTCCCTTTGGTGGGCGATTGAGCTCTGCTGCCCAGGACCCCTGATTTGTGTAGCATGTTCTTGGAAATTATCTAGGAGAAAGTCTCAGATACACGCTGACTTCTTGTTCTTTTCAGTTTTAAACGTTGGCTGGCTGTGGAGAGACAGGGAGTCTCTTTGCCTCTCACTTGCACTCTGTGTTTCTGACAGATCCGAGCGGCAAGCCTCAGTGGAGACTGTTCGCTTATGAATGAAATCCTCAGGTTTCGATTTGGATTGAAACAACACCATCAGGTAAACATGCCCGTGGAATCACTGACTCCTGGGAGTGTCACGGGCAGAAGTAGTGAGTAAAGGAAGCAAACACACTTAGGATCAGGAAGTGCCTACATGAGCAGGAAACACGCTATGTACTGTTTAAGTTGATTGGAATTAGTTTTTCTTCATAATCACGGATTAGCCACGCGACTGCCTGGCAGGAGAGCTGTGACCTTGCTCCGGGGCAGTTAAGAAAAGAAAAAGACCTTATTTTATTTTATGCGTCTGAGGATTTCATCTGCACGGATGTGAGTGCACCGTATTCATGCACAGTGCCTGTGGAGCTCAGAAGGCCACGTGGGCTCCTAGGACGCGCAGCTCCACATGGCTGTGAGCTGCCTGGGAGTACTGGGAACCAAGCCCGGGTCCTCTGTAAGTACAGTGAGTCCTCTTAAATGCTGCGTTCCAACTCTGGGACAGACAAAGAATATAAGTGAAATCATGGCCTGTGTCCGTTGTATCCTAATAGTCCTCTGGCTATATTTGCATGTAATATATAAGGTAAAATTGACCCCTTGTCAACTTGACATGTGATACTTAAAGACATAACCTTTCCTTTTTTGGTTCGTTCCCAAGATCTCAGAATAATAAATATCACAAAAAGAAAACAGACTACAAATTTAAAAGTCCCACAGTCTATCAATTCAAATTCTTTAGAGGGTCAGTCTTTGGCCAAGCAGTGGTGGTGTATGCCTTTAGTCCCAGCACTCAGAAGTTCTAGGCCAGCCTGGTCTATAAAGCGAGTTCCAGGGCAGAGAAACCTTGTCTTGGAAAACCAAAACTAAACCCAAACCCCAAAAATGTTTATTCTCTGTAAAATTTGAAAGTTTCTTAAAATCCAAAATCTCTTTTAAAAATATAAAGTCTTTCAACTTTTGGCTTTAATAAACACACACACACACACACACACACACACACACACACACACGAAAACTAAGTACTTTCTTGCTTCAAGAGGGAAGAACCAGGGCACACTGACAATCTGAACAAAGCAAAACCAGACTCCCAACAGTGTAAGTCAGTGTCCAGTGTCTGGATTTGGTCACTGTCTTCCGGGCGCCTCCAAAGGCCTGAGGCACTTTACCTGCCCTGTCTTCTGCAGCAAACAGCTTGTGCAGGCTCCACTCCGCTGCTTTGAGGTCGTCCCTGGTACTGGCATCTCCAAAATGCTGGGGTCTTCTCCTGCATCTGGGCTCTCTTCATGATGCCAAGCCTCAGCTTTCCTCGATGACTCCCTCAGTCCTGGGGTTTCCACTGCTCCACTGACTGCAGCTTCACCAGTGGCCTCTCCCGGCTTTTCACAGTGCCTTGCAAGCCTCAGCTGTTCTTCGTGACCCTTAGTGCTTTAAGAACCCATTCCACCTGAAGACTCATACACTGCCAAGTTTGCTGACCGCACAAGGACAGCCGTGCCCATCTCTGAACACGGCTTGCGTGTGCTGACTCTGAGGAAACACTTGCCAGAAGATTTCACCTCAGCGGTTCTAGTCTCTTGTTATTGACAGCTAATTGTTCAGCCCCAGCTAACCAGAACCACAGCACCCACAGGCCCCAGGCTCTGTCCACACATGGGACAAAGGCTGGTCACAGGTCCCCTGTGGGAAGAACTTGCTGGGCCACTTCATGAAACACAGTGGCACAAGGATGGCAGTTTCGGCCAGGTGCGAAGGGATGGACGTGGCATGACAGGAGGATGTTCCCCAGTGGGGAGTTCTGGCTGGGGGTGGAGAGTGGCCCAGAGATGTGCTCTTTCTGAGTGGTCTCTCTGGAGTCCAGCCTTGTGTGGTGGCTTCAGTAGTCAGTTCTGGCTCATGGTGGAGGGGAGTACCATGATTTTCCTCCTGTTGAGTGAGCCGAAGTCCAACTAGAGAGCTGTTGGTTACCACCAAGGTGTGTGTCCACTACTGCGCCCTTCGGGATGTCGTGCAATGCTGGCCATTGTTTTAGCTTGTGGACATTATAGCTGGGGAAGACTGTTGGTTGCTTCTCTCCCTTGGAGCCTTGCATGGCTCCTCCTGGTACCATGAAAGCTAGTGGTCAGGGAGGCGGTCAGGCAGTCCAGCTCAGATCCTCCGGGTCTGAAGTGCACAGTGTCTTCAGCAATAGGACTCACCTGCACCTCTGGGGGCAGCCAAGGGCAACAGGCTGTTTTGGGACCAGCAACTCACCGCTTCTCAAGTTTGGTGTTGGGGCTTGTATTATATAGTCTTTGGCTCTTGGAGGGAGCATTGTCAGCCCAGATGGGAAAATTTCATTTAAATTATGTGTATATTATAGTTCTTGTAGGCTCTTTTCCAAGAGCCATTATTTTACTGGCTCTGGGTAGTTGCTAAATTTACATATACTATATGTAAATCTAGTAGTTTTAGGTAGATATAGTATAATTCCTTATGATTCTTAAAGACAGTTTTTCTGTTATTTTACCCTCTTTCTGTATTCCCTTATTCCCTTATTCTCTAATTAAAAGTACCCTCCCTTCCCTTGTTTTTCTCATTTTCCAAGAATGAGTAAATTTCTTTTTTTTTTTTTTTAAGACAGGGTTTCTCTGTGTAGCCTTGGCTGTCCTGGACTAGGCTGGCCTTGAACTCACAGAGATCCACTTGTCTCTGCCTCCCAGTGCTGGGATTAAATGCGTGCACTACTGCCAACTGGCAAGGATGAGTAAATCTTAACTGTGGTCTGTCTTTGGGTCTTCTGACCCTTTGAAGTGTGGATTCCCCCCTCCCCCCACAGGATCTTGTTGTGTGTCTCTGGTTGTCCTTTGGCAAGTGAGCATTTCCAGCTTAAGTGTGCTGACCAGGCTGAAATAAAACTGGGAAAGCAGAATACTTGTGATTATCATCAAAATCACTGTTTATTTTATTTGTTGCTTTTTTGAGTCTAGGCCTTGCTGTTGTTGGTTTTGTTTTGGCCTTATCCTTGAATTTCTGGGAGTACAAGTGTGTGTCACCACATCTGGCCTTTAATTTTAGTTTTAATTTTGAGGCAGTCTTCTTACTCTGTAGCCTAGGCTGGCCTCATACCTTTGTCTCCCGAGAACCGGTGTTATAAGCATGCGCCACCATGTCTTTTGATTGTCCTATATGGACAGGGCACATTCCATTTTTTTGAATTTTAGTTTGGAGGAGAGAGAAATAAATATTTTAAAAGCTCTGTAGGAATTAGAATGACAGGGCCTTACATTTCTTAAAACATGTACGTTTTGGAATTTCAAGACAAGGTTTCTCTGTGGTTATCCTGGACTCACTCTGTAGACCAGGCTGGCCTCAAACTTAGAGATTTGCCTGAGTTTTGAGAATCTGAGGTTGAGAGATTCAAGAGATATTAGGCAAGTTACTCTCATAGTAAAACTGAGGTCTGTAAAACATATATTTAATTTTTCTTTCTGCCTAAAAAAGGAGGCGCTTGCAAGTTTCCATGTCTGTGTGAGTGGTTTCCTGCTGCCTCAGGATAAACAGTAAAAAGTTTACAACCAGTCAGTTGAAAAGTTATGAAGGAGAGGTGTAGAAGGGAAAATTTTTAGTTTTTGTAGAAGATACGATTGTTTTTGTTTTTGTTTGTTTGTTTTGTTTTTTGTTATTGTGTTGTTTTGAGACAGGGTTTCTCTTTGTACCAGACCAGGCTATACTTGAACTCAGAGATCTGCTTGCCTCTGCCTCCTGAGTGCTAGGATTAAAGGTATGCTGCCGCCACCACCTGGCTGATATGCCTTATATTTAGTTATGTGTATGTGTGTGTCTGTGTGTGGGTGTATCACATGTGTGTCGGTGCCTTTGGAGGCCAGGAGGAGGCATCAACTCCCTGGAGCTGCTGGGAACTGAACTTAGGTCCTTTGGTCTCTCCAGCCCCTTGAAATCTATTTTAACTTTAATTATGCAAGGTCAATCAGGACCTTGTCTATGGACTTTTTTTTTTTTTTTTTTTTTTTTTTTTTTTGTGATTTACTGTTTGGCAGACCTGCCTAGTGCTTCAGATGATGACATCTGGTTACATTCTTGAAAAAATAAGAAAATGAACATCTTATTTATGTCTAAATAGTTTTATATTGAACTAATGTACCATGGTTTGGAAGTTGTATTTGTTAATTTTATTTTAATTTTTAGATTAGCAGAAATTAATAAAAGAACAGGAGAAGTGGATCTTTATGATTTATTTTATTTTAATGTGCATTGGTATTTTGCCTGCATGTCTTTCTGTGTGAGGGTTGGATTCCCTGGGTTTGACTTTGAGACAGTTGTGGCTGCTGTGTGGGTGCTGGGATTGAACCTGATTTCTCTGGTAGAACAGCCAGTGCTCCTAACTGGTGAGGCCTTTCTTCAGCCCTGGAGAAATTAATCTTAATTTGGTTTAGGTAATATAGTAAAAGCCACAAAGAAAACCATGTGCTTTCCTTTTCCGTAGACTTGCGTGCGGGACAGAGCTGTTCTTTCTATCTTGGCTGTTCGGAACATCAGCAGAGAAGAGGCCCAGAAAGCTGTGGATGAGGTCTTCGAGTCGTGTTTCAATGACCATGAGCCTTTCGGCCGGATCCCACATAACATGACGTATGCCAGATATGCTCACAGGGACTTTCAGGACCGTGATCGCTATTACGAAAACATATGAAGATGGGCCACTGTGTTCCTGAGCATGTGGGGAAGATGCTCAGGATGTGTGAAGTGTAAATAATCAGTTAGGCTCTGCAGATAACAGGCAGAAGGTGCTCATGTTAGTGGTTGATTACAAAAAACAAAGAGGCAGAAAGGAACTCCTTAAACTGCAAGGCAGTTTATAGCTAATCATTTAGTAAGTAAATAAGGTAAATAAATGACATTTTTGTATTATTTTTTAATGCTTTCCTTTTGTAATTTGTTCTATGAGATTATTTAAAAACTGTTATGAAATCTGTGAAGCAGATTTGTGATGGTGGTGGGTAATCAGGTCAGATCGTTTCCATATAATGAGGTGGTGACATGGTAGGACAGTGGTTGAGAGGCCATGGTTGAGAGATGAAAGTTGGGAATAATTCACTCAAGGCCAGCGTCATTGTCTCAGTCCATTGTGTCTGTATTGGAGGACTTTGACTTAATTTCCGGGGAGCAGTCCAATAATTGGGTCCTTTTTTCTTTTAGATTTTGTTTTTATTGTGTGTATATGCGTGTTTTGCCTGTGTGTCTGTGCGTGTGCATGCCTGGGGCCTGAGGAGGCCAGAGAGGGCCTTGGATTCCCAGAACTGGAGTTATAGCTGACTGCAGATAGTGTGTGAGGGTTGGGGATCCATTCAGGTCCTCTGGGAAAGCAGTGCTCTTAAACGGCTGAGCTGTCTCTCCAGCCCCCTTATTAGGTTTTTAAAAGTTAAAGTGCTACGTTCAGTCTATAATGCAATTTAGTTCTTTATGTATTTATAAAACTTTGCTTATAGTAATTTTCAAATATTTTGTCATCCCACATATCTGAATTTTAGATTCAGAAAACATTCTAGCCAGGGAGGTGGTGTGCCTCTAACCCTAGCACATGGGAGGAAAAGGCAGGAGGATCAAGAATATAAGGCCAGCTTTGCTACATAGTAAATTCAAGGCTAGCCTAGGCTATGAGAATCTCAGAGGGGAAAGGAAAACAGCGTGCTTTCCTCTGTACCTCCTGACTGGCTGTCCGTTCGCTGGCAGTGTGTGCCGTCCAGTCTGGGGTATGTGGGTGTGGTGAGTCGAGAACCATGGTCTTTCTACCTGAAAAGGAAACGATACAGAGAACCTCCTACCTCTGCCTCCCAGTGCTGAGATTAAAGGTGTGTGCCACCATGTCCAGACAGCTTTTATTTGAGGTTTATTTTTATTTTGTGTATATTATTGTTTGGTCTGTTTGTGTCTAGGTATTTGTGTCATGTATGTGACTGGTGTCTGAAGAGGCCAGGGAAGGGCATCAGATCCCCGGAACTGAAGTTACAGATGGTCTTGAACCACCATGTGGGTGCTGAGGACTGACCCTGGGTCCTCAAGAAGAGCAGCCAGTGCTCTTCACTGCTGAGCCGTCTCCAGCCCCATATGATTAGTTTTAATTCTGTGCAACTTTTCTTGCTATTCTTAAGTTGTTGGCATCTTTTTCAGGAAATCTTTGGTTGCACCTGTGTTTTGAAGTGTTTCCCCGGCAGCAGTTTTAGGGTTTGCATTAAGGTCTTTGAAGCATTTTGAGTTTTTTTTTTTTTTTTTTTTACATTTTATTTATTATTTACTTGTTTAGTGTGTGTGTGTATACATGTGTGTATGCATGTGTGCCATGGTACATGGGTAGGGTCAGAAAACCATTTGAGGGAGTTGGTTTTCTTCAATAGTGTGAATCCTCAGGATGAAACTCGGGTCCCTAGGCTTGGTGCAGGCCCCTTTACTCACAGAGCCATCTCTACAGCGCTGAGTTAATATTTGTACAGGATGAGAGACAGAAGCACCAAGTTTCCTTCTGTACATGGCTACCTCCCCCAGTGTGTGAACTAGAGAGTTAAAAAAAAGAGAGACACATAGGTAGGAGGTGAGTAAAAACTTGAAATAAGAAACTGAAATGGTGAAAATCAGCTTATGATATATTCAGATCCAGGTGAACACTGTGTCCAGTGGTCATGCTTGACATAAGAGCTCACTGATTATGTTGACATACATACAGTTTTGAAAAAGTGAGCAGTAAATGAACAAGTATTTATAATTTTTAGGTGGTAGAATGTGGAAAAGTGGATGCAGTACGGAGCCCGTCTTAGTCAGTGTTCTGTTGCTGTGATTTAGAACTTTTATGTGTATGAATGTTTGTCTGCATGTTTGTATGTGTGCCATGTGCTGTGCCTGTTGTTCGAAGAGGCCAGAAGAGGGCGCCAGGTCCCTTTGAGCTGGAGTTAACAGGTGGCTGGCCTGTTGAGGGTACTGACCACTACCTGGGGCTCTTCAGGGCTCTTAACAGCTGAGCTGTGTCTCCAGGTTTCCACCCCCACTGCCTCTTTGCTCTGACCTTGGGGTGACCTACTTTTTCTCCCAGAGTTACCCCGACATCAGGGCTAAGCCTAAATGCTTGAAGAGAAGACCTCTGACTCCACAGGCAGAAGTCTTAGTGCTGGCCTTTAAGGTGTGCCATGGGAGAGATGAGAAAGCCCACAAGCAAAAATACCAAATAATGGCCAAGGCCATCCGACCAGCCTCAGCCACTACCCAAGGGAGGCAAGGCTCCCTTGCCTCCTAAGGCATGAGGACCATGGGGTCCCTGTTTCAAATGTGGTCAAGAAGGTCACTGGATCCGGTTTTGTCCTAACCCCCACAAGGCACTGGGGCCATGTCCAAAATGCCACCAAGAGGGACACTGAGGTGTTGACTGCCACTGTTTCTGCCATGATATGGGGGCATCACTCCCAGATTGCCCTCCAGCTGATATCCTAGGCCTGGCTATGGATGACTGAAGGTGCCCGGGTTCCCTTGACCCGACCACTGCCATCACTAGTAGGGAGCCATGGGTATTTATCATGGTACTGGGGAAGCCCATCTCCTTGTGGGTACTGGAGCCACTTACTCAGTCCTGACAAGAGTATTGGGGACTAACCTCTCCTTCTAGTTCCCCATTGTCAGGGTAAGGGGACAGCCTTGCCAGCCTTGCTGGACTCTACCACTTAACTGTATTTTCAGGGGTGTTCTCTTGACTCATTCCTTTTTAGTGATGCCAACCTGTCCAGTTCCCCTCCTGGGAAGGGATTTTTAGTGGGAGTGTCTATCTCCTTTACTCCACCCATTCGCCTGATCCCAAACTCACCGGCGTCCTCTCCTAGCTACCCTACCTACCAGTTGGGACACTTTGCTTCCTTTACCAGCCTCTCAAGTGGACCCCCAAGTCTGGGATGTCCAAAACCCCTCTGTTGCTAGGCGCCATTCCCCTGTAGTCATTGGGATCCTGGGGATGGAAGAAGTAGAGGAGGTAATTAAACACTCCTCTTAGTGTGGAGAGCTGCTTGTTTGTCAAGCTGCTTTGTTATTTATCGAAAAACTGTTTCACCCTGGCCTTCACCTTGAGACAGAGGAAAGAGGAAGTTTTGCTAAGTTCCATAAAATTTGTTTGTGTGACCTTGGACCATACCTGCTGTAGGGAAGTAGTTTTAGAAAACAAGTTTGGCACTTTCACGAACTTCTTTCTTGTATTGATGTGACTTGCTTTAATTATTTCAATCCTCACTCCCCACTCAGGAACTCTGTCAGCAGGCTCTGGCATCTAAGGTCATCCTGACATCCCCCCCCCAAAAAAAAAAAAAAAAAAAAAACAAACCTGTCATTTTGTCTCCTACTTCAGACTCTGACCTCGGCCTACAGCTCCTTAATGTGACCCAACTGGGCCCTTTTAAAGCTTGCTGGCTGTGTGTCACACCTGGGACCAACTCAGCTTCTCCAGTGACTCTGTCAAGTAGCCTTACTTCACCGTTCACCAACTGCCCTGACTCTGATGTTGCCACAATCCCCTACTTTTTTCATATCACTCTCTTTGGTGTGGCAAGCTATTTTAAGGCATCCTAGACACACTCTAAGGAACCAGCTAAGTTCCTTAGAGTGTAATATAACTATAATCCTTAATACCGCATCTCAACCCCAATGCCCTACTGCTAATAATCCCTCGATTCTTTGTGGCACTCAGGCCTACCATCGTCTGCCGGCTGGTTGGTCAGGAGTTTGCACACTTGTGCTCCTCTTCTCCTAGCTGGAGGAATGCTGTTTTTATGTCAACCAGTCAGGTATAGTAAAAGACAAAATCCAACAACTCCAGACAAATCTACAAAAGCTAGGGGAACAGCTTGAGGCCTGTAGCTCTTGGGCCTTCAAGAATCCCATATGGAAATGGATTTTGCCCTTCCTCAGACCTCTTCTGCTGGTCTTTCTGCTTTTTGCACCCTGCTTTATTAACTTCCTCTCTACATTCCTCCAACAACAAATGCAAAAATTCTCTAACCAAACCATTAATCAGCTACTCTTACAGGATTATCAACCTCTGCCCACAGAACCAGATGACAGTGACCTTCCAATCGACCCTAATGTTGTGCACCAGCTATACCCTGAGAATGACAATGCCCCTAATTAGCAGGAAGTATATGCCCTCCCCGCCATCACCCCTTCCTAGCTCCTCACTTTTTAATAAAACAAACAGGGAGGAATGTTGGGATCCATAAGCAGGCATCTCTATGGCCAGCCCCAAGGGACATGACAAAGCAGATATCAGGCATCTGTGAGGCCACCTATGGACCACCTGAAACTACCTTAGCATGCTTGGGGTCACCTTATAAGAGAACACTCCCCCTCCCCTCTCCCCTTTCTTCTGCCCTGTGCAGAGAGTCTCTGTGATCCCTTCCCTTGATAAACCTCCCATGTGGAACCAGTAGCGTGGCGTGATTTGTGAACCCACCATGTAACTTTGCTGCACAATCCTAACAGTAACTAGGTTTGATAGTATCTTGGCTGGCTATTTCTCTCCCCATGAGAAAGAGAAGTTGGATGGTAGAAATAACTGTGTTCTGATAGTTCTCTGAAATCACAGTTTGTGCTCTACTCTGTTTGTCTTCCCCCTGAGGGCAGAAATGAACAAAACAAAGGTTTCCTCACTGCTTAATGTTGAAGTTTCAGAAGACTGTGGATGTACCAGTTAAAAAAGCTTTATACCAGAAAATTTCACATTTAGAAAACAGTAGTATTAAGAATTACCCCCTACCCCCAACTTGTCACTCGGGAGAGCCAGCTTCCATAACTGACATCTTTGTGTGCTCACCCTCCCTCAGGAAGCCCTCACACTACTAAGCCAAACAGTCTGGGTGACGCCCCTCCCCCAATGTAAGACATCTTCGCCGTC